CACACGCTGACTCCGTCATGCGGGCGGCGTGGGAACATGGAGTCCGATTAACCCTACCCCTGAGACACATTTGTATCCTGTCTACAACTAGAATGATCATTACACATGTAAATGCATCGGCCTGAGGGTGAGTTACCGAAAATATATGTTCGCCAACTGACTCTTAAATGAAAAGTAGCTCGCGTGTGATAAAGTCGTCAGAGACTGCCAAGTAATCGGCTGTATTTACTTTAAAGTACATACGGTAGTTAGTTGTTTCCTTGAGCTGGCGGAAGTGGGCGCTCTTTTTCACTTGGTGCTCTGAATCACGCCAGTAAAATGGTGATAGCTGTGGAGGGGGTGGGCATGTTTAAATGGGAAGTTTAATCCCAACTTTGGCCTGGTGATTCAAATTGGTTCAACGTCATATCAGCAACAACGATTTGATTCGTTTTGACTAAAAAAGGTTTAGACAAATTTTTTCTGTTGCAACCGACACGCGCGATTTGCCGAAGGCAGTAACCCGTACACGTGGGCAGACAGAGCCGTGGTTACAAAATGACAGCGCCTTGCGGGCGGTCTAAACGTATCCCAATATCATTCTTTACGTAGCCTAGATTCGGCGATTGTGGAATTACTGTGCTCGGGAAAATTCTAGCCAGCAATATTAACGTATTTACTGTGATTTTATGGTCTTGGCTGTTGGAATATGAGCTGTTCTGACTGGAACCCATAGGGGGCGAGTGAAATTCCTATTGGTTCGCGTAGAACACACAACCCTTCGCGATGCGGCACGTCTAAGGATAGATGCAACGATTAGAACTAGCTCACGGAGTTTATTGCATGTTCGAAGCAGTTTTTCCCCGGTAAGAATTTGAAACAGGCATACACAGCAGAATTTATTGGTATCAATAAACTTCGCTACGGTTTATCAGTTGCAACTTGTAGCTGAATAACACAGATAACGCATGAGAAACATACAGAAATTCGAATTTTTACACAAACTATCTATGCAAAACTGCAAGGTCATCGTTTAATGCCCACAAACTAATCAATAAAAAGGGTAACTGAAGAAACAATTAA